ATGTTGTTTCATTCTCTGTTTAACGTTTATAAGTTCATTCTCTAGTTTAATTTATGTTATTTCATTCTCTGTTTAACGTTTATAAGTTCATTCTCTAGTTTAATTTATGTTATTTCATTCTCTGTTTAACGTTTATAAGTTCATTCTCTAGTTTAATTTATGTTATTTCATTCTCTGTTTAACGTTTATAAGTTCATTCTCTAGTTTAATTTATGTTATTTCATTCTCTGTTTAACGTTTATAAGTTCATTCTCTAGTTTAATTTATGTTATTTCATTATCTGTAAAATGTAAATGTTTATTTTAGTCAATTAAACTATCCCTTTGAACACAATGTTTTTTCTAGATAGTTTGCCGTTTTAGTGCAAAACTACAATAGGCTATCTACTGTGTCTACTGCGAGGAATCGAACCTTGGTTTTTAGCGTTGTAAATCCGTAAACTTACCGTTGTCCCACCTGAGTACATTTTTTTTTTCTGGCAGATTCAAAATTCATTAATCGTGTGGAAAGCTGTAAGACGTGACACTGCTGAGTTAACGTTTCAGTCGATTCATACTAACGGTCTTGTTACGTTTAATGTCCAGCAGAATTCAGTTACGTGTTCTGAATTGTTTCAAAATACAACTAGAACCTTAAAGTACTAGAGGAGATCGTATACTGCGGTGCTTCTATTTGTGTGTGTGTTAACAGCTAACGGGTCTGCTCATTACAGATATTACGTTTTTACGAATTCTATTATTATAACAGCGCCACCTGCTTGTGATTTTTTGGTGCGTTTCTTGTCATTGTTGAATGTAAACGTAACTAGCTATTCCTTGCGGGAATTAGCTTTTTTATTACATCTTTTAATTAGTAGTGCCACCTGCTGGCCATTTTTATCCTCATTTACTCTAAACTTTAGGAACTTTATTTTTCTTCATCTACAGACCGAAAGAACAGAGAGAAAGTCCTATTGTTGCTATCAATAACTGGTGGGGATTTAACAAAAGCAGCGCTGTGGCGAGTCGAATCAAGGACAGTAAAGACTTGGAGGACTTGTTAGAAATTCAGTTCGAACCTTTTCACATGACCAACTCATCGGTTCTGAGCGGTTAGTTGTAAATCTTATAACTTTGTAATGATCTTAATTAGATACTTATTATAGTCGGAGGTCACATGATCAGAGTTGAATTTTGAAGTGTTTGTTTCGATAACAAAGAAACGTTTAGCTGATGTTTTCCTATTCTTTGTGACCTGTTTACGCTGTTTGTCACCCAACATATGCTCTTTTGATTACAAATTTTGGAGGTGTCTAAACTTGAAAACTATGACACAACGAAGGGTTGTTATTATGCTGTAAAAATTCATTAAAAATTACAATTGCATTTTTCAGTTATGGCAGAGCTACTAAGGCTATCTGTCGCCGTCCATTATTTTGAAATACTGACCAGAGGGAAGGCAACATCCTAACACCATCCACGTTGAATGATTGATTGTCATTCTTATAACACACCCACAACTTATAGTAAGTTATTACACGGAGTCAAACCCCGGTCGTCAGCTACGAAAGCCAGAATCTTACATGGAACCAACATGAGCCCCAGATTAGTTATAAGTAATGTTACGGTTTTGTTGTTTTTTTCCTAAAAGTTATACTATTTATCAGATGGTACTTATCATAAAACTGATAATAATAAAAAAAAACTCCACCTATGCTAATCAGTTGGCATATTCCGTAAATATTAATGTTTTCAACAGCTGGCTGGCAGATTGAATAAACTTGGATATATTGAACCAATTAGCTAGCAGATTGAATAAAGTTTAAGTATTTTGAACCAATTAGCTGACAGATTGAATAAACTTTAATATATTGAACCAATTAACCGGCGAATTGAATAAAGTTTAGGTATATTGAACCAATTAGCTGGCAGATTGAATAAAGTTTTGATATATTGAATCAATTAGCTGGCAGACTGAATATATCATAAATTTTAGAATTATCAGTGTAATATATCTTTTTAACAGTAGCACAACTGGCTAAGCTGTAGAGAAGTTTCAACGTTGTAGGACAGTGAGTAACCTGTTGAAGTGTCCAGAGTTAAAAACTTAAACTGACCACTTCAAATAAAACTGACTAAAGGAATTTTGGATTTCATAGCTCGAGCGGCATGGCTCAAGTGTCTCATTGAAAATACTCCCTTCGAAAATGTAATAAAAGTGAGAGATGTACATGGGTGGGCTAGTAGCAATGTTTTCTCTGAGAATCTGTGAAATGTTCGATCATTGAAAATACTCCCTTCGAAACCGATGTAATAAAAGTGAGAGATGTACATGGGTGGGCTAGTAGCAATGTTTTCTCTGAGAATCTGTGAAATGTTCGATCATTGAAAATACTCCCTTCGAAACCGATGTAATAAAAGTGAGAGATGCAAAAACATTGCTACTAGCCCGCCCATGCTCTGAGAATCTGTGAAATGTTCGATCATTGAAAATACTCCCTTCGAAACCGATGTAATAAAAGTGAGAGATGTACATGGGTGGGCTAGTAGCAATGTTTTCTCTGAGAAATGTTCGAATTTCCATCTTGTAAAATACTCAGGAGTTAAAACAAGAGTTAAATTTCAATTATTGAGAAATACGAGATGTACATGGGTGGGCTAGTAGCAATGTTTTCTCTGAGAATCTGTGAAATGTTCGAATTTCCATCTTGTAAAATACTCAGGAGTTAAAACAAGAGTTAAATTTCAATTATTGAGAAATACGATTTATTTTGTTGCTGTTCTGAAATAACATTTAAAAAAAAATTACTCCGATTTTTTCTTCTCAGGAAAATGTGCGGGAGGGTGGCAGGTGATAAAAGACACGTGCTTTCTCTATGTCGGTGGAACCATGACTTATTCAGAGGCGAGGGACTTCTGTCAGGTTAGTTGATTAGGGAGTGAAACAATATTTTATTAAATTTAACACGTTATTTAAACAATCATAAATCGTGGAACATGAAGGCTTAGAATTTGAAATTCTATTTATCCCTAGATTATAATGGAGGTAAAACTGTGTGCAGTTCTTCACTGAGATAAGAAAACAAATAAACGGTAAAACATGCAACATACATATTGTAAACACGAGCAGCTTTTTCCTGGAGATAACAAAAAGTACACAGTAAAAGATCTAGCTATTCCACTGAGATCTCTTTAAAGTAGTCACTGTTTTAGTTATGGAAATTAACAGTAAATCATATTCGGTTCAGATGTCTCTCTCTCGTGCATCGTAACTATATATTTAAAATAGTCAGTGTCAACAATTGCCAAATGATTTGAACTGAAATGTATCTTTTTAGTTAAACAATGCATCCATGCCGTTTGAGAAACAAAATCGTCGTCAGCTCCAGGAATTCATTAGAAGTCAACAGCTCTACTTTGAATGGGACATTCACAGGGTGTGGGTTCAGGCCATCGACATTCCGATCTCTCAGTGTGCTGTTTTGTACCGTGAAAAGGTTTATAGTCATCCTTGTGACGATTCACTCCCTTTCTTGTGTGAGAGAGGTAAGGTAAATCTCTACCCCAGCTCTCAACCCTGTTAACGTGACATACCACTAAATTTCTCTCCCATCTCTCAACCCTTGTAACGTGACAACCACTAAATCTCTACCCAAGCTCTTAACCCTGTTAACGTGACGTACCACTAAATTTCTACCTCAACTCTCAACCCTTGTAACGTGACATATGACTAAATCTCTACCTCATCTCTCAACCCTTCTAACGTGACATATGACTAAATCTCTACCTCACCTCTTAACCCTTCTAACGTGACATACGACTAAATCTCTACTCCATCTCTCAACTCTTGTAACGTGACATACCACTAAATCTCTACTCCATCTCTCAACTCTTGTAACGTGACATACCACTAAATCTCTACCCATCTCTCAACTCTTGTAACGTGACATACCACTAAATCTCTACC